TAGTTTTAAAAACAATACCCAACTCCATAATTTCTGCAGCAGGCAACAACAGTGAAACAATAATGGAATAAATAAATGGAGGAAAAGCATCCATCTCCATTTCATGGTCCTCAGAGCCTCAACACAAAGCAGAAAGGAAATGTCACAGAGAAGAAGTGGCCTAAGAGCTCCTTTTCTTCCACTATGCTCTACATTTTCCAGTGGGTTTTTTTCCTCCATCATTTGCTGGCAAACTCTAACCACAGCTCTGATTCAGTATCCTGATGTCACTGGGATATGATGTCCTGGAGACACCTCAGAATTCTGTGTCTCCTGCTGCTGTCACACCTTTTTTTTTTCTTTTAAGACCTTATACAGAAAATCTCTTGGACGTGTACTACTCGCTTGACTGCTTCACAAATGGCCCCTTCTTCAAATTGCCCTACTTCTTTTTCAAAGGAGGCCTACATTTTCAGTGGGACGTTTTGCAGCCACAGTCTGATGCACTACAATTTACTAAAGTGGTGGGAAGGATGTGGGAATGATGTTTGAGGGTGTGGGAAGTTGCAGAGCATCAGGATCGTAAATCCAGTTGACCAGTGATCCTGTTGAGATTACAAGTTCACAAAGGGAAGAGAAGCCATCCAGCACAGTTAAGAAAATCCCATTTGGAGAGTCCTTTCAGCTTGAACCTTAATACTTTTCTCCCTCCTATACCTATATCCATGCATGTGTCCTCTTGAAAGGGAGCAGCTGAGCATTAGTATCCTCCACTAGCTGACGACAGCAGTGCAACCTTAGCCAGACCACTGCTTGTGAGGCAGGCGCCTGACTGCTATATATGCTTGCAAATACCTTTGCCTGTTTTTTAGTTCCTAAAGCCTCAGGCTGCTCTCTTTGATGTGTAATACCTTAAAGATTTTAATTCCTCTTTACATCAACAGAGAGCCTTACTGAGCCCTCCCCACAGCTGCAGCCGTGTAGCAATTTCCTGCCCTTTCTTAAATCAATGAGCTACAAAGATCAGTAATTCCCAAACTTTTCAGGAAACTGTCCAAATTCACTGTGCTAGGACCTTATTAATGCCTTCTACGTTAACCTAGCCCACCATGTACCTGGAACTCCACTAATCCCTCTTCCAAACCCAGCCCCCAGTGCAGCTGTATCTCTGCACACAGGGAAGATCTTGTACCCAGGGCACATACTACTTCCCACACACAGAAGAGAACAGAGTAAAAGTCACATATGCCTCAAGGAGAACTGATGCTCAAAGTGGGGCTTAAATGAGGGTGGTAACATTTTTGCATAACTTCAGTAAGATGAGAACAGGGGATCTGAACTAGAAAGTCTCTAGGTCAGTTAGAGGTCTTTGTGATCATGGAGAGTGTAGCATGAAAATATGTGGCAGAAAACATAGGGGAGTTGCCCATTCACTGAACACTGCCCTTAGCAAACCACGACAGATGTAACAGTCCTGGTGAACACGCACAACAGGAGCATACAAGTAAAAATTGAATTACAGTGCCCATGGGGACAGCAAATGAGGGCTATGCACATGACTTTCACTCTGGTCTACACACTCATAGCCTTGCTTTCCAACCCTAGGCTTCTTGTAATGTAGTTATAGATATCTAATTCTGCAATTAATTCAATGTTTAAAGCCTTTGTCACACTGATTTAAAGGATATCTACATCATTTAGATCTGAAATACTTAGATCTCCTGAACATTCTTCAGGATTCATGAAAGGCAGAAAATGTTGAATCTTTGGGCTTTCTTAGTATTTTCTGATAACTCTGCAATGCCTTTTACTAGTACAATATGAGGTTTTGATTAAAGCTCCTTTTTAACTATTGTGCTGATAAAATATAACTTTTTCTAAATGATGTTTAAGATGTTCTACTTAATCTTTACACAAAATATCCTGACAAAAATCAAGCAACACAATAGAAGTGAAACAATCTGACATCACTGGAGAAAACCTGAAATTGCTAGAAACTAGAACGTTTTTGCACTTTTCTCCTGCAAACCTCTCAGAAACTCATTTTTTTCTTCTAATGTAAAGCAAGTATTTACACTGCAAGTTTTGGCATTTCCTATTAAAACTAAAACCAAATAAATGCCCTTCATCCAGCTCTACATATAATAAAGAATAACCTATTATTTTGCAGTGTTAGACCGTGACCTATTTGTCTGTTTTAAAATCTACAATTCTCCATTTTTCTTTCTCTGTTCCTCATTCTAATACTACTAAAAAAATTTTAAAAGACTCGACAGTATCTTTACAAGTCCTTTAATTTTATCTAATTCTTTAGATATCATGGCACCATAACAGCGATACGTCAACGGCTTACGAATAATTTAACGGAAATGCTAAAGAATGTTTTGAAAACACAAAAATCATAGAAATTATCCAGCACAGGAAAAACCCGAGAGCAAAATATATATACAGAAGAAAACAGTGGTAACAGAAGGGGTACTAAGGTAGCAGCAAACAGAAAATTAAACATACACCACCAAAAATATACAGTCACAGAAAAAAATATTGTCAAGCAAGAAAGTGGTAAGTTGCCTTCACAGATATAGTGTCTAAGAATATCTAAAACCCTCTGTCAGGGTTTGGGACTGCAGGATCCAGATAGAGGCAGGAGCAGCCATGGAGGAGACTTCTGGAAAAAATAGGGTCAATCTAGCTGGCTAACTTGGAAAGTTTTTTCTAAAGAAGCCATCATTATACATAAGACCTGTTTAGGCAAAATAAAACAGTGCTTCTAATTCCTCTAAGAACTAGTCTACAGCAAATTTCTCCTGTAAAAAGTAATTAGGACCACAAAATGCCTTCCTCAACCTTAGACACATGTCCTGTGCACTCATCAGGGAAAGAAGGGAAGACATCAGTGAGGAAACACAAACAAGCTCCTGTTACCTGTTTCTCCCAGAATCTCTGAAACCTTTAGCAAAGGGGTTTCTGTCAATTTTTAATCTGGTGATCTAAAAGGAAGAAAAACATAATTAGTTGATGTAGCCACATTTTTTTCTTTCAAAAAGTTAAAATTATGGATGATCACCACTCTTGCCCAAGCCTCCTGTACTTATTATCCTCCATACCTATTTCCCCAGACTTGTGACCTTCCATTATCCACGAACAGACTACCTGCTTAAGCTGATCAGTGGCACCAGAGGCAGGAACCATGGCAGCATTAGGAAGCCTGGCACAGTGCTGGGGCAGAAAAGTTGTTCCTGTAGAACCTTGGACCCAGATGCAAAACCCCAGGAGCTACAATTTACCAGTGACCATGTGGTTTGAGAAGCAGGCATACTGCTCAGGTCTGACTGGTATCTGAATTATCCCAGTCTCAACACCAGATGTCCAGTAGCTGGGTGCACCCATGAACATTCAAACAATGCTAAGGAGAAAAGGCACTGAGGGGAAAAGGAGAAGAGCACAACACAGCCTACAGCCCCCAAAGCCCCCAGGCCACACATAGAAGTTGCAGTTGTTCTAGTCAGAATCCAAGTGGCCCTTCAAGGGTTGTCTGGTGTGGAAATATTTTTTTTTCTTATTTTTTCCTCCTCTAAACAAAGAAGGTGGCAGCCAGACTTTATTTTGGGGGAAAATCTTCCTTCCTGCTTTATTTTCAGGCATGAGTTTCATGCTGGTAAATATCGAAAATAACATCAGGATTTTGACCTGTGGTATTATACTCCCTGTTGGCTATTCCACAACCTGGTACAACACAAGAGCTTCCCTCTGCCAGCCTCACCTTGTCCCAGAGATTCCATCTCTGGAGTGAAAGAAGTGTGAGACCTCCAGACCCTATCAAATTTGAGGAATTGGTTTTGTTTTGTCTTTTTTTTTCTGAAACTACTCAAAAGGGACTAGTTTAATACAGTTTGATCTGAAGTGGATTTGCAGGTGTTTTGCTTCTGTCAGAACCAAGCCCTTGCTCTGGATATTAACCTCAGATCTAGAATGCAGCTCTTATTTTTGCAGAAGCTTAATTTGTGAACTTAATTTCCACTGGCCTGACTTTGCAGCTGTCCTGGGACCTGTGTGTGCAGAGACAGATATGTTCTGTGGAGGATGGAATTACAGAAGAGGGAATCCCTGTGGTGGATTTGCTAACATTTTACAATTGTTTCCAGAGACGCTTCTCTCAGTAAAGTGAAGTTTTACAGCCGCTGGAGGGCATGCAGGCAGATTCAGGGGATTTAAATTTTATTTTAATGAAAAGGTTTCTCCAGCCCACCAGAATCTCTTTTGCTGATATTATAAAACTATGATTGCATCCCCCAATTTTTTTTTCACAAGACCTCAAAGTGTTTGGAATTCAGAGAACCAGAAATTTCAATGCTTCTTTACAGTGGTTCCAGTCCCTGACAGAGACCCCTCCCTTAGCACCTCCCTTACCTGTATAGTTATGTCTGATAGTTCTGATCATTAAGGAAGAATAACCAGCTTATTTCCCATAATTTTTTTTCTCCTTTCTGTATCCTTTTTCCATGTCTAAGTTACAGTTAAAGTTCGTGGAGTATATGCATTTTGGTGAGGGGGGCAGGAAATTTCCTGTGCTGCAATGGCAGCAAACCCACCGTTGTGTTGCAATATTTGTGATCCACTTTGAATCCTGATTTAAGTCAATTCAATGGGATCAGACTGCGAAAAAAAAGTTAGGAGTGGGTACCCAGAAGCAGTCTGGTAGCACAAGTGCTCTCTCTAATATGTCGCAAAATAAAAATCTATATAACATTTCACTAAATTGTTACAATTCACAATTTTTAGAAATTGGTTATATATTGCAATATGCCTTAAGCTGATTTAACACGGGTCTGTCCCACAGTCCAAAAATACTAAATATAATGACTTCCACTGACTTCATCAAGTCATTCTCCAGAAACACAGATGTTGTAATGGAAAAAATATTAACTTCACCATTTTTCATCACCAACCTTTTCCATTCAAGACTCCTCTGCAACTGATGGCAGAAAGTTGTACAATCTATTACCCTAACAGGCTTGATAGCATATTCTTTTTCTTCCAAGATGTTTTGTACCCTTACTCTAGTTTTATAACAGTACCTTGCACTATCTAAGTGGACACACTGTTAACACAACAAAAAACTTCATCAACTAAGATTCTGTTTCACATGGCTGAGAAAACAAATTACCTTATGCAACCCTTTTAAATGTCATCACAACCCCCATTCCAATTAGAATGGCAGAAGTGGGAAATGGGGTATGAACAGTACCTGTCACCTGAAAATAAAACAGGGAGTCTATGTAGAAAAACAAGAGAATAGGAGCTCCCTGAGCCCAAAGCATGACAGAGGTGATGTGAAGGCTAGTGAGAATCCCTGAGACAGAGGTAGCTAGCAGGTAAACATTACGTAAGGAGACTACAAAGGGAATGGGTGGATATAAGCACCTGTCTGTGCATGCAATGAACATGCCTGAAGAAGCAATAAAGCAGGTCACCTCTCCAAAGACTAGGACACGATCTTTCACTGGCCACTGACAGAGAAGGGGGAGCAAATGCATGTAATCCACAGTGAGGGTTTTACAAATCTCCTTTCTTCGCTGGTGTCTCAAACACTTCTTAAATGTTCATGTTTTCTTAGCATTTAATTTCTTCTTAAAGATATATGTTTGGGGGAAATAGGGATAGACAGGGAATTCTGTAATCAAACACTAATGTGAACTGGGATTGTATTTCTTAGTGCCATGAAATCTAGTTTAACAAAAAGGACAGATCAGTAACAAAGTCAAGGTCTCTACAGGGAGAATCCCACTGTAGCAACATTTTTTCCTTATGATATCTGGACTCAATAGTAACAGTCTGTACTTGGAACTGTGCAGGGTCTGAATTAAACATGAATTATCACAGAATCACAAAATGGCTTTGGTTGAAAGGGACCTTAAAGGTCATCTGGTTTCAAACCACCTCCCATGGACAAGGATACCTTCCACTAGACCAGGCTTCTCAGAGCTCCATGCAACCTGGCCCTGAATGCTTCCAGGGATGGGGTATCCACAGCTTCTCCGAGCAACTGGTTTCAGTGCCTCACCACTCTCATAGTAAAGAATTTCTTCCCAATATCTAATCTAAACCTATTCTTTTTCTGTTTGAAGTCATTCGCCCTTGTCCTGTCACTACATGCCCTTGTATAAAGTCTCTCTCCATCTTTCCTGTAGGCTCCCTTCAGGTACTGGAAGGCCACAATTAGGTCACCCCAAAGCCTTCTCTTCTGATCTTTACTTATAGTGGGGAACATTTTGCTTCCCTGGTCCCAATCCTGCTGTCTATCCACTCAAGTGGTGTGGGAAGAGAGGTTGCCATTGAAGACTGAGGCAAAAAAGTTGAATACCTCAGCCTTCTCCTCATCTATTTTTTACCAGTTTTCCAGCATTGTTGATCAACAGGGGTACACCTTCCTTGACCTTCCTTGTCTGGTTAACATACCTATAGAAGTCCTTCTTGTTATTCTTTGCAACCCCTGCCAGGTTCAGTTCCAGCTTCACCTTGGCCTTCCTCACCCCATCCCTACACAGCCATACTTAATTTCTATACTCTTGCCAGGTCACCTGTCCTTATTTCCACTTCTTGCACATTTACTTTTTTCCCTTTAGTTTGACCAGCAGGTCCCTACTCAGCCATACTCATCTCTTGACTTCTTTTCCCAATTTCTTGCTCTTGGGGATTGCTAGCTCTCATGCTGTATTGAAGACTCCTTTAAAGATATGCCAGTCCTGTTCCATCCCTTATTCCTGAGGGCAGTCTCTCAGGGGATCCTATTGACTATCTCCTTGAAGAGCTGGAATTTTGCTTTCCTAAAGTTCAGGGGCCTAACTTTACTCCTTACTTGACCTGTATCCCTCAGGACAATCATTCATACGCAATATTTCAAGGTTTGAAGGTTTAGATTGTCAACAAACTGATGAGATTACAATTATTTAAAACTTTTTCTTTCACTGCTATAAAAAAACCCATCTACTATGTGTTTTCTCTCTAAGATAACAAATCTGGACTAGTTGCACTTTTTTTAAAATACAGGATGCTGTAATCTACACCATGAAACAGCAAGGAAATTTGAACCAACACATCTCTTTATGGCTGATCTCACTTATTTACTTTACAGTACAGCCACAGTCATCTTATCTTCAGGGTGGTTTTCTGGCTAGATACTTCATGTCTACACACTACCCCATAGCAAGCATTTTTTTTTAAGCCTGTAAAGTGTACATTCTTCTATAGCTATGTTTTTTAGAGAAGTTAATGTCTTAATCACAAAAATCACACCGATATCAACATAAAAGGAGCCTGAAGGCACACCTGTTGATTTTGGTAGGCTGTCACTGTGGTGAAAACAGTTTCAGGAAAGTTGAAGGTTTTCACTCCATCTCCTGAAGGAATTGGCTTTGTAGGAGAAAGATCACTGCTGAAATCCTTGCGGATGACATGAACACGGGGCTGGTACTTATGCATTGAATGTAAGATTATCTGAAGACAAAACAAAAGCAAAAGGAAAAGGACTATTTTTTCCCAAATATTTTATACCACATCCAGATGTACAAAGAAGCTGGGATGAAGTAAGAGCTAATACGAATAAATTACTCTTTTCTTACAAGCATATACAAGACAAAGTTTGTGCTGTGAGCAGGGAGGAAGGTGCTTTGTTGCTTTATAAGTTCAGGTAACATTTTGAGGAAAAAGCACAGAAATAGGGAAAAATGCTTCATAACTCCAGAAAGCAGCTACAGATACGTGCCCAACAGGACACAGGAGCATCAAAGCAGCAGCAGCAACAACATTTTAAGTCTGAGAAGAGCGAGGCTGGGACTGCAGGCACCAGGATTAACTTCTAACTTACATGGCCTTGATCATCAAGCTCGTTGTTGGTCAATTTGAGCTTGTCAAAACTGACCACCTGCCTCATCCAGGTGTCTCCAGAAGCCAGTGAGTCAGGGTGGATGTAAACCCTCGGAGGCACTGGGGAGTCAGCATTGCCAGCCACCATCCACTTAGAGCTGTGATACACATACCTGGAAGAGGAACGGTAGATGGCTAAGGGACGTTCTCACTCACTCACTGCAGAAACATGTCCGGGGCTCCCACTCCCCTGTCACCCTACCGCATGCACCCCAAGCTCTCATTTGCAGTCAAAGGAGAATGTGCTTTATTGCAACCTCCTACCTTCTAAATGAAAGCCAGATTACCCCTGAGCCACTTGTTCAGGCTTGATTCCTTATTGAAACCACCTTGCAGTCATTTTCCCTGTAAAACTCTGCCACATGTGCCTTCTCAACTCCTTAACCCTCTCTGTGCCAGAGTTAGAGTCTGGAAAATAGGAGTAAATAAAGTTCTCTCTGAAAATATTAATAAATGCCCTGCAATTTCTGGAAATCTGCACTGGATCCCTTGCCAGACTTTGCAAAACACGTGTCTTCACCCAGAAAGGGAAAAATCCAATGGATACCATAAAAACAGATAAAACAGAATTTCTGGTTTGAAATGTTGCAGAACAGGAAATTCCATATAGTATTACATATGTTGGGATTAGAGGGAAAAATTATTTTTCTGTTCCTGGTCTTTTGTGATCTTTTTTGTTCCTGATCCTATATTTGCCATAAATTTCTCTACCACAGCTTTGCCTAGATACTTTTTTTTTCTGTCCTGCAGCTCATTCCATCTAAGGAATTTCACAAACAGTTCTGCTAACACTTCTGAGTTCTGCCCTTTGCTGCCCCTCACTGGGTCTCTACTCAGCTCTGCTAAGCTGTTTCAGTCTTTACCTACAAACAGTGACTCATTTCCTGTATTTTCACAAGAAATGAAAAAATAAAATAAAAAAAGAAGTCTGTTCCTTTCACTGCTAGTTTGCTCTATGTGGCTCACAAGTTAACAAGGACAGCAAAAAAGGGTAAAACAATTTATTTTCCATGTTAATATCAGAACCACACCCAAAGGAAGAGGAAAAACATCCGAGTATCAGATGCTACTTTGATGCTTCCCAGGAAAAGCATTTTCCTGAGAAACACTGCACAATTTGAGAGCAAAAATGTAATATTTAGCATTTGAAGCAGAGGTTCAATTCTGAATCCTTGGAATGTGGTACAGCCGAGACTATTTGGGGGAAAGATTTGCTCTCAGGGGTGTTTTAATGAGAATACATAAATCACATCTGTCTGGATAGTTTTCTGGGATGCAGAGGACCATGAGTTTTCCAAAGTACTTTTCAGGATCAGAAGACCATTAATATCAGAGAAATATCTTCTTCCTGTCTTTCAGCTCAGCAGTGGAGGGTTTCTCAATGACTCCACACTGCAGGTCAAGGACCAATATTCACTGTGGCTGTTGGACAATGAAGGCTTTTAAAACAGAAATCACCCAATTCAGTTCAGGCCAGACCTGAGGTGCCTGTCTTAGTTCAGCTGCCAATTGCTCATTCCTTTCTTGCTGAAGTAATTTTAGCGGCTGCAGACTCCCCATTGATAACTCCAGTTATCAGTTCCCTCAGATGGTCATTGCTGTTCATGTCAAATGGGAAATGCATGATAGAGATCACCTCAATTTAAAACTGCTATTTGAAAAGAGAAAGATTCCAATCCAAAAGAGCAAGAGAATATATTAAATCTCTGGGTTTGTGTCTCATTATTCTGTTCAGATCAGCTATGTTGGTGTAAATCAACTGGTCTCCCCAGCATACCTTTGCAATGGTGTGTAATGGCAGGTGTCTTTCCTAGGCTGTCATTGACAGTAAGTTATTACAAGGTTCCTGCCTCTGCACCTAAAAAGCTTACCTGTATCTCTTGTTATCCACTGGGACAATGTCCATGGCAATATAATACTGCTGGTGGGGATCCAAGCCTGTAATTTTCACCCTCATGGCTGGAAACATTCTCCTAGGAAAGTAAGAGTAGAAACAAGCAAGAAAATGGTGAACAAGGAAGTTGAAGAGGCTCCTTACACCTCTCTCTGACACCAGAAGCATGCTACTTTACACAGCCCAGTACTTGGCACCACCGGGCTTGATGTGGGTAGCAAAGGGTGTGCTGGCAGTGGTTTGAGTCTTCAAATTTTTCCTATTTGAGAAAGGGATAATAGGATAACAACCTGTGAGTAATCATAAAATACAGTCAAGCACTCTGTCCATTCCCAGTTCCTAGCAGAAGGTTCTCCTATGCTTCATACAGATTGTCCTCTCTAAGACATTTCTAGGATGGGTAGTGTACCTTCCTCCTGCTATTTTGTCCACTGGCCATCCACCTATAATTATTCTCTCATATTCCATTAAATGCAGCATCACTTTAGTCCTCCTTTTTTTGACAGTATCACATTTCAATATAGAGTTTGATAGTACTGGGGTTGTATTTAAGGCAAATCCATCATCCTAAAAGATCCACTCACCCTTATGTATAAAGTTACTTAAGAAAAAACATCCCTCAAATTAATCTGCTTATTAGGAATATACTTCACTTTTATCAGAAACACTGGCGTTATTCCCATGGATTCCTTGAAGTCCTGATAGTATTTTGTGCAACAGTTTTAGTAAGTGTTGTCTTTTCTATGCCATATGATCCAGAACTGTCTTAAGCATTTTCTCCTGATAGGCAAGTAATGAAACGCTACACCAAAGACAATCAATTCCCATCCTTTCTCCTCTTGTCTGAGCACAAGTTTAGTTCTGCTGAGCACAGTCAATGCTCTGGAAATGTTTGTAGGTAAGCAATTATTTCAGAAGAGAACAGATCAGAACAATTTTAACCTCAAGGCAATATCAGCGTTAGTGTGGCTATGGCCTAATTTCTCCTTGAAAATTTTATGGAGGCTGGGAGACCAACTTCCGTTCTATAACTCACTCAAACAGCATGCTGATGGAATTGCTTACACCATACTATATTTGCAACTAATATGGTATTTTTAGATCTACATAAAATCTGAGGAGCAGAACTAGGTGAAGTGCAAAAGGAATCAAGCAGCTGAGCAGAGCACTGAAAGAAATCCTGCATTGTTTCACTGACTGTTAACTCAAACCTAAGCTTTACTTGAGTGGCTTCTCAGCCCTATCTGACAAAAAGTTGAGCTAAGGTCCTATAGGATGATGTTACTTGATTGCTCGACTTCTACCTAGAGAAGGTAGAACAATGAGGCAAGAGAAACTCCAAAAGTATTGGATGGTCATACAAAATTACATTCTGTTTCTCTGATAGCCTTATTGAATGAAGGTATTTGGATGGAAGGAAGATATTAAAGGGTAATTTAAAATCACAATGCCAAAATCATGGAGAAGCATACAAGAAATGTAATCCACTGTTTCCAGAAGCTATCCCTAGAAACTATCATGGCACTTTCCTTTTCATTTAGTGAGAAGCCATGAAATGTCAGAGAAGATTTATATCTTCTCCCAACATTTCTGTTCCTCAAACTATTACTAGTGGGCACAGCCTAGAGGAGAAAGCAAACAGGAAAGTTTATATCAACACCTCCAAATGTGTCTCTCAAACTTTGCACTGCAGGGATGTGACCATGAGAAGCTCTTTCATTCTTTTCCATCCAGGCCACATATAGCCTCTAGCAGAAGAGGGTAGTAAAGAGGAGGTTGATGATCAGCCTTTTCCCCTACCCACAGCTTTTCCATTTCAGGCTACAATAAGAAGGAAAGCTTTGACCTATTAGTATCTGCATCTGCTTTCTAAAAGGGCATTTATCATGGTGGGTGGGAAGAGCACCACCCCGCAGCTGGCACAGCACAGCTGACCTGAATTATGAGAGACATAAAACTGTCAGAAAAAACGTCTGCAGAAACTCTTCAAGAAGAGAGCAGTTTTTCAACTGATGGTGCGAGTTTGGTAGTTGAATGACTTGGGGGGAGAAAAGGAATAATAGATTAGTCTTCAGTGGCTTGAAGGCATTACTTTATTTCATATTAAATCTGCCAAGAAAAATGGGTACAGGATGTGGCATTTTACAGCCCGGCTCTCCCTAATTAGAGAGATGTGCCTTGGGAGCAGCTAAAGAGGTAGGTCGTGTTTCAGAGGGTTGATAAGAAGCCCAGGATTAAATCTGAATCTCTGGGTCTAAGTCTGTGCACTGTATTGGGAAAACTGAATGCACTGTGTGTCCCAAGAAGCTCTCTCCAAATCTACAGCCCCATGTAAAGTTGCAGTATAGCCTGAGGGGTTGTTTGCTTATGAAATACCTTGTAAAATATTGCCACAGATCATTCAACAGGCTTAGAGGCTAATCTCTAAAATGGTCAGAGAGAGCTCAGCTGATCCCACTGCTTTCTCTAAGGTTTAAAGTGTACTTTTAATGTTTTGTAAATTATTACTGGTTTTCTGTGGGTGTAAAAGTAACTTGGGTTACTTTGCCATAAGGTCTCTGGCAGCACTGCTGTGTGGAAAGGGGAAATGGAAAAGGTAGAGGCTAACAGTGGCGACTTAGGGATGTACTCATGTGTAATCCTGGTTAAGTCTCTGTTCTCTGTATTTCCTCTTGGCTGGCTCTTGGTACCCCAGAGGCATCAGCCTTACAGAAAACAAGAGGCTCAAAGGTTTGGAAGGAATTCAGGCAATTTGAATATGGTTGTATTAATAAACAGTCAAGAACCTTTCATCTAGAAAGATATCAGCTAGCTTTATAGCCAACAGCTACCGACACCAAGGCTGTGTTTCATAGGGAACACATGATGACATCTGATATATTTTAGGAGGAGGTTTTATATCAACAGCAGTTTGGTATGATCAAGTTATTTATATGTTAGCTTTACCACTCAG